CTTTTGTGATCTCCAGAATAATCAAGGTCGAGGTAGGGGTTATCAGCCGAAGCTTTCGGCTTCCTCATCCAATAATTGTTTTATTATACATTGAACGAAAGCAAAAATGGTCACGAGAGTAAGTGGAACTGACGTTTTATTTCAAAAAAAATATACAAATCAGCAAGCAACACAAAGCGCGCGAACTTGACATGGTTACCCTAAGAAATCATGCACCGCGGTCCTATATGAAATGATCACCCGTGACTTTGAATGTCCTTGACATGATTATTGTATAACCTGCACTTACATGACGTCCCAGGCGCTGATTTAAAAAAATTCACTGTACGCTTTCTGTCAATCACATAAGAGATAGTGAGATGAATGTATAATAGTAGGAATAACATAGTTTCTAACTAAAGGAACTTTGTTTTTGGACAGGATCTTCTCGAGACTGTTTTTGAAAACGGTGTCCTTGTGAAGGAGTATACTTTTGCACAAGTCAGAGAGAATGCTGAGATCCCTTTGGTAAAAGAAGCAAAGAAAAACAAAGAAAAGATGTAGTACTTGTTTGCATTCGTGTAAATTTAATTTTCTATTTGTTGTCTCTTCACTCATAGCATGCACTTGTTTAGCTGGAGAACTCAGATCTGTTAATGAAAGCCAGCTTGACTGGTCTAAAAATTGTATGATAAGATTGGTAGAATGTGCGATCACACTTTTGTTTAGAGTACTGTTTTGACTGAGGAGAAACTTAATAACTTACAAGACGTATCCTTCTGTATTCCACTTGAAATGGTAAGCGTAAGAGGCTATCGGCGGTAACTATGCAGTCAGGTGAATTTAGCAAGATCTCAAAAAACGGTGACAGTAGTTCTCACACCGTAAGACTTTCCCTCCTCGCTGTGTAAGCTTGAAGGAACGAGCGACTCTGGAGGGTACGTGGAGGGAATGAAAATTGTAATTTTTTTGTGTCTGGTGTGAGTTGCTGGTTCCCTTTCCCTATTTTTCCTGGTGTTTATTACACTGCACATGCGGTTTGACACCATCTCGCAGTGTGGGAGGAGGGAGAGATCTCTTTTTAATTGAGGGTAGAGTGTAGTCAGTGCTGATGGGAAGACTCGAAAAGACGCAGGTGATAGCACTTTGTGAATCAGGACACTGTACCAGGTAAGAGGATGGTTATTACACCTTAATCTTGATTGGTAGGTCAGACCATGTGGTATCCACAGATATCTAGTGAATGAAGCGCTTGAGTTGTTCACTTCCTGAAAAATTACTTGGGGATGAGTTTGATTCGCTTTGTCTGCTGTGCGTTTAGAACTTTAAACTATTTGTGTACGTAGCTTTTAAAATCTTAAAATTTGGGAATCATTTATAAGCAGTTCATAAGCACCGAGTCATTTCGTTTAGAATGGTAGTGTTTATTCTACAAAACTTAGCACAGCAATAGTGCGAAAACATATTTCATACCAGTACGAATGTCAAGTATCTTACAAATACATAGAGAGAAAGTGTGCGAACAGTTTACATAACACATGAAAGGGGATTTGGCGTAAAAGAGAGAACGCTGACCACAAGGAAAGCTTTCGTTAACTTACAGGCAGAGCTGATCAAGTGATAGCTTGTAAATAAAGGTGTCTTATCTGCAGGCTTGTCATTTAGAGGGCTCTTTCCTGTTTTTTAGTAACGCATATAAATCACCTTCGTGTCTTGAAGTTTCTTAATGAGAAGAACTTTGAAAGTAAAATGATGAAAATTGTATCGTTGCGTTTGGTGATAATTTTCTGAGGTCAGGAAAAGTAGACTCTATGAGTTTTCCAAATTGTTGTCCCAAGAAGGCTGCCTTAGACCTTTGAGATATTTATGGAGCTTTTTTTTCCTCCCTATGGTGGAGGTTTTTTTGGCATCTTGCACATAAGTGAACATCTAAATATTACAACCGCTGAGTATTTAATTTGAGTTTATCCCTGTTATTAAGATAGGTGAACGTCAACATATTTTTAGAAAAATTGCAATTTCCACTAGAGTGTTTAAATCTATGGCGGCATTTTCATAATACTTGGGTAGTAATTGTAGTCGGTGTAATGAGCCAATCAGAATTCTAAGATTTTCAATCGCGTTTAGCCGTGGGAAAGTAGCGAAACGTAGATCACAATTGTTTGAGTTTTGTAACAGAGCGGTCAAACGACCGCGCATGCACGAGCGTTGCGCTCTAAAGGGCGTGCTTAAATAAGCTTTGTGTTCGGAAAGTCGAGTTTTCCTTTTTTCTTCATTTGTTTCCTTTTAAAATTTCCATGAACGTTTCCATTTTCTTTAGCTTATTTTGCGAGACAACGGTTGTTTCTTATGTCTTTCTATGAAATTTTGCGCGAAAAATTGGCGCGTGGACCGCCAAAATTGATTCCCTTGCGCATGCACGACGTTTGACCGCTTTGTTGGGTTTTTCATATGATTGTACGAAGATAAGACAGCGTTGTTCAGGTTGGCTCGTTCCCATTCCCTCCCTGTTTTCTTTTTACTGTAAGCTCTTAAACTCGACCTTTAATACTCTTCTTATAGATGTGAAATTTTTATAGATAGTAATGTCAACATTATATAGTCTAATGGTGTTTATTTCCTTAGGAGTGAGTGATACTTAAAAAAAACGCATTTGATATATATATTCCGTAGGTGTAAGAATTATGATGTCAATAAACTCTTTAAATTTAAGTCCAGTTTCTATGCTATTGTTTTCGATTTTCATCATATGCAATACAAAGATCGTTGGAAAATGTCTTTAATCTAGAGAAATTTTTTTTCTAAGTCCGTCACTATCGGGAATCCTATGGAATCCAGTAGATTCTGATCATGATGATCGGAAATCATTAAACAATGATGGATGACATTTTCAGGTACCTATCATTAGTGTATAGACTTCTGACTGCAATTGCTTGTTTTACTCAGAGACTGAATACGCGTCACCTCATCAACCAATGCGCTTAGCTGTGATTGGTACAATTTTTTTTTTTCAACATTTTTCTTGTAACTTTTATCAGTCTTTACTCCAAGGATCACTACATGCCCATGCGTGGTTCGATTAGTCTAGACATCAGAGACCTAAGGAGGTTAAGAAAACCACGAAGACAACGGCAACGGGAACGTCACTAAACAAAAGGTTAAATGAGCAGAACAATGGCTGTGCACGTGCGCTATAAATCTTTGTAAATTTCGTTGAGTCCTCTGCAAAACAACAACGTATAATGACCAAACTTTGCGTTGTCTGGAGAACGCGAACGACAACGGTTTGTTTTTTTTTTTATTTCAATGGTAAAATTTCCGCACAGCGCCATACTACATTATGCATTCAGTTCTTGGATAGAGAAAACAATGACAAAAACAATACATTGCCATTGGGAAAACAGATTTGTTTTACAATAGTATGGGGCTGTGCGGAAATTTTACCAATTTCAATTTCTAATTTAACGCTGTGTTCAAAATTCAGTTTGGAGATAGTTTGGACAGTGAGAAACAAACTCGATGACTTTAACCGACGTTGTTCACGGTGTCGCCGTCGTCGTTTCTTAAACTCCCTCTTGACTAAACGGCGACGGCAACGAGGACGTGGACGTGGCAAACAAAAGATCTACGGTGAAAGAACAATAGCTCGGCACGTGCATCTTCAGATTTTATACACTTCAGAGCCATCCTCTGCAAAACTGCAGCGTGAAATGATCAAAATTTACATGGTCTGAGAACAGAAACCCCAACAGTAAATTATCTAAGTTTCCATTAAAAAATCAATGCTACTCCAGAAGGTTTTTGATGATTTTGATGTGTTGCGCCGTAAGAGGCGGTAAACACATCCAGCCATTCCCTAAAAAATAAACTGATTTTTAAATCGACGTTATCCTCGAGTTGCCGTTTGTATTGCCTAAGGTCCCAATTGGCGATAATTGACCCAATTGCTTTTGTTACGATCAGACTCGATATTTTACGTTCTCCTGATCTTGTTTTCCATCTTAGTCGACTAAAAGTTCGTTGATTTCGCTGTAGTTTCCCTTCTAGGAAAAGTCACGTTTTGTCTTCATTTTTGCCTTTCTCTCATTTGGCGCTCCTTTACAAGCAAAAAAATGTGAGTTTTACCAATTTTTTAAAACAGCGTTGAATAAGACTGTGCTTCTACTTTGATATTTGATTTTATCAAAGGGATTAAAGGAGAAGAAAACAAACGCTCTCACTGTGTAAGTTACATAACACTTACTGGCGACATTTTCCAGTCCTTTTTCAGCGTCAGAGGGGTTTCCTTTTGCGAAACAATTTTAAAAATGTAATTGCCGAGAGATTTTTCCTTTTTTCACATGCAAATTCATCATAGTTTTTCTTTTCTTTTGATTTTTGAATACCTGGCTGAGCGTGGAAACAAAACTGTGCGCCAAAGCAGTGACGTACGAGCCTATTATTGGCATATTCATCTAAAATTGTAGAATTTTCCAACCACCTTGTCCGCTGAAGAGTGAAGATGTGTGGTTTCTATTTTGAAACTTGCACTCTGGAAAGAAGAAGATACACGAACTGCTTGGTACTTGGAGAAAAAGTGACCATCCCTATAGAAAACATTGCCTTAAACTCCTTCATAAAGCAGAACGAGTCGCAACATCTCAGCAAAACGAGTCGACGCGTATTAGTGGTTTGGTTTGCGCGGCTCCTCAACTCAAAGTTCGATTGAGTAACGGTGTCGGCCTCCTAAGAAGTAGAACTTGAGATAGTGATAAACTTCCGCGGAAATTCAATGTAATCCTGAGGTTGACCACTAAA